ATATTTAAAACCCTTTTAACCCCACTCACACTAATTTACTGTTTTTTCAGAGGTGCTCAGAAAAACAAAAGTTTAGAAACAAAATACGCATAAAAGATACACAACAATCCCCCTTTCCAAAATGCCCAAAATCCCCCAAACCCCCCCCTTTAAATGCGGCATTGTATTTTTCCCCTTTCCCGGACTCAAGTCCCGACTATATGAAAATTTAAACCCGGTTTTTTCCTTTAAAACCCTTCACTAAAAAATTACCCGCTCCACCCAACAGATGTCAGGGCCCCCAAATACCAAATTCCCTCTCCATTCACTTTTCCCTTTTTTCATGCTCATGCATGCTTGCTGGAAGTCCAAGCCCCCTTTGGGCCCCCAAAACCCTCCTTTTCCCCCTCTCTCCAACCCCTTTTTAGGGCGGGCCCCACCTTTTTTTTTTTCCCCCTTCCCCCCCTTCCCCCTATAATTTAAAATCTTTCCATGGGCATTCTCTTTGATCCCTTCTCTCTAAAAAGACCAAACCACCTCAACCCCCCCTCTTCTGCCCCCTGAATTTAAACTTTTATTAACTCCCCCACCCTTTTTCCCAAATTTTCCCCAAAATCCGAATTTTCTGCATAATATTTTTCCCCCACCCTTGCCCTTTAGACAGGGGCATTCCAAATGCCTCCCCAAACCCTTTTCCCCGCTGCTGCATTTTCCACCCAAACTTCACACCCATTAAGGGGTTTTTGGGTTTTCTATTTTTTTCATTTCTTCCCCTTTTTTGCCTCTGTAGATAACCCTTTTTTTACCCCACAAAAACCTCAAAGCCCCCTCACCCCTTTTTTTTCCCCCATCAAATTTTTAGGATTAACCTATCCTTTATTTAAAACCCCCCCCGACACGTCAAACCTCCCAAATATCTGAAAAAAGGGGCTTCCCATCTCCTCTCCCCAATTTGATATCCAATTTTTTTTTTATCTAAATTTTGATACCCCCATCACCTTTCTCTTTTCTATGTTTTACTTTCAACTTTTTTTACCTTTAACCCCACATTCCCCAAACTATCCACTAAACCTTTGAATTTTTTTTTTAGAAACTCCCATAAGCACAGTAAACCCTCACAAAAAATAACTGTGGGTTTAAATTTCCCATTTTTAAATTTTATTCCCCAAAAATTTAATTTCCCCCCCCTCCCCGAACACCCAAGCATTTACTTCTTTTACAACCCCATCTATAAATATATTAAAAAACCATGGTGACATTACACATCCCCGTCAAAAACCCCTTTTTACCAGGACGTGTCCTCCCTCTCTTTACACACCCTAACCCGGGGCCCCACTATCCCCATAAAAATTCTTTTTTAGCATTTAGTAACTTTTCCACCTTTCCATGTACTTGGGAACAACTGCCACATTTCTCCCCATTTTACTCTATCTTATGCCTTTTTTTTAAATTTAAACAAATTTCAATAAAAAAATTCCCTACCTTTATCTAAATACTGTTTTACATTATGTTTTTTTGGGCGAGGGGCTTGGGCTTTCCCGCAAGCTTGCATGGGGCATGTTAGACAGGAGTGAATGGAGGGCGAAATGAAAACTTGGGGGCCTGAAAAATCTGTTGGGGGGTGGTGAGGCCCGGGTAATAATTTTGTGAAGGGATTTAGGGGAAAACCGGGTTTTTTTCATATAGTTTGGATTTGGTCCTGGAAAAGGGGGAAATACAATGCCTGCATTTAAAGGAGTGGGTTTTTGGGGTATTTTGGGGAGTTTGGAGGGTATGTTGTGGGGAAACCTTTAAAACGTATATTTTCTAAGGTGTTTTATTCTGAGCACCTCTGCAAAACGGGATAAAGTTTTTGGTTTTGGTAAAATGTTTTTAATGAGGGTGAAAGTATTTTTTTTTTGGGGGGTTTTTTTTCGGGGGACACCCCCCGCCCCCGGTGGGAGACACCCCACTTGTTTTAAAAAAAAAAAAAAAATATGCTTTATGTAAACACTTGAAACTACACTCCCCACCCACTTTTGGGGTTTTCCGGGTCTCCGAATCCTAAAATTCTGTTTTTAAATCTAAATTTTTTCAAAATTTTAACCCTACCATACACTTTTTCCCGGTATACCAATAAAATTTTTTCCCCTATAATTTTTAACCCAAATTTTTTTGTCCCCCTTTTCCCTTTTTATTAAATGGACTATACATGCTCTCTGCCAATCCCAAAGTAACCCTTCCCCCCTTTTATACATTTATTAAAACAAAAGTACCAACCACTCCAACCAAAATTCAACCCCTGGGTTTTTAAAATTTTTTGTCATGATTCCCCTCAGTTTTTCCAGGGTGGGGGTTTCCCCCTTTTATCTCGAATGCCTCACGTTTCCTCCCCACACTTAAAATTCTGCTCTTCTTCACTCCTAAAAGAGGTATACCTCCCTGACCAGTGCATGAAAATTTCCACCTCCCTTTCTTTCCCTTTAAAATTTAAAAGTTCCTAAATTTTTCTCGCCATCTACCCAATACCTCCCTTCCCCATTATAACTCCCCCAATCTATTTTTTTAACTGACCCAAATTTAACCTTTCCCCCTGGCTTTTTTTTAAATTGGTTTTAAAAAACTCCCCAAAATTTTTTTTTATTTTTCATTAAAATTTCTTTAAAAAGTGCCTTCCCCCCCTATTATCTGCTTTTCCTTTTTCACTCTCTCCCCCCACTCTCTTCACCGGGTTTTTTTACTGTCCATAAACTCTGGGTTTTTCTTTTAACACTTTGCTTTGTAAAAACCTCTCAAAAAGCTAACTTTTTTTCTTTTACACACCCTTTATTACATTCCACCCAAAACCCCTCCTCCTTTTTAACCCGCCCCCCCCAAACCTAAACCACAAAATTCTGCCCCACATTCTAATACTGCAAATTTTTTAAAAAAAAAATTTAAAACCCCCTTTTAACCCCCCCCCTACTCCCTCTTTCACTACCCCCCCTTTTTTGCCAACGTGCTTATATCTCACCCCCAATTCCTCCCCCCTTAGTTTAACACTTTCACCTCCCCTTTCTTTGGGTTGTTGGCCCACCTTCCCCTTTTCCCATCTACCTTTACTCAAAATTAAACTTTCAACTAAATAATGATCCGATATATCAGTTGCCCCTCTATAAACATGTACATCCTGGAGCCTACCCATCAACCTTTTATCCACCAATACATAATCTAACAAACTACTTTCATTACGTGCTACATCATACCTTGTATATTTATTTATCCTCTTTTTCATAAAATATGTATTACTTATTACCCAAATCTCTTTCTACACATAGCTCAATTAAAGGCTCCCCATTTACATTTACCCCTGGCACCCCAAATTTACCTACTACTCCCTCCATAACATTTTTACCCATTTTAGCATTGAAATCCCCAACCACCATTACTCTCACACTTGATTCAAAACTCCCCACGCATTCACTCAACGTTTCCCAAAATCTCTCTCTCTCCTCTACACTTCTTTCTTCTCCAGGTGCATACACACTTACTATAACCCACTTTTCACATCCAATCTTTATTTTACTCCACATAATCCTTGAATTAATACATTTATAGTCCCTCTTTTCCTGCCATAGCTTATCCTTCAACATTATTGCTACTCCTTCTTTAGCTCTAACTCTGTTTGAAACCCCTGACCTAATCCCATTTATTCCTCTCCATTGAAACTCTCCCACCCCCTTCAGCTTTGTTTCACTTAAAGCCAGGACATCCAGCTTCTTCTCATTCATAACATCCACAATCATCTCTTTCTTATCATTTGTACAACATCCACGCACATTCAGGCTTCCCACTTTGACAATTTTCGTCTTCTTATTCTTTTTATATATATATTTTTTTTCAACAAGTTGGCCATCTCCCACCAAGGCAGGGTGACCCAAAAAGAAAGAAAATCTTCAAAAAGAAAATACCTTCATCATTATTCAACATTTTCACCTCACTCATACATAATCACTGTTTTTACAGAGGTGCTCAGGCATGACAGTTCAAAAATCCCTCCAGACTACCAATGTCCCAGACCCCTCCTTTAAAGTGCAGGCATTGTACTTCCCATTTCCAGGACTCAAGTCCAGCTAACTGGTTTCCCTGAATCCCTTCACAAAATATTACCCTGCTCATACTCCAGCAGCTCATCAGGTCCCAAAGACCATTCATCTCCATTCACTCCTATCTAACACTCTCAGATATGCTTGCTGTATATCCAAGCCCTTTGCACATCCTTTCCTAGGATGACCCCTACCCCTCCTCTCCTTCACTACAGATTTATACTCCCTCCAAGTAATTTTTTTTTTTGCTCTATTCTCACTAAATAACCAAACTACCTCAACAACCCCTCTTCAGCCCTCTGACTAATACTTTTAGTAACTCCACATCTCCTAATTTCCTCACTATGAGTTTTGTGAATAATATTTACACCACACATTCTCCTTCAACACGTTATCTCCACTGCCTCCAGCCTTTACATGCCTGCAGCATTTACAGCTTCACACCCATATAAGTGTGTTGGTACCACTATACTCTCATACATTCCCTTCTTTGCCTCCATGGATAACGTCCTTTGTTTCCACAGATACTTCACTGCACGACCCATTGTTTTTCTTCATCAGTTCTATGGTTAATCTTGTCCTTCATAAACCCATTTGCTGATAAGTCTACTCACAAATATCTGAACACATTCACTTCCATATTCCCTCCCTCCTATGTGATATTCAATTTTTCTTTATCTAAATCGTTTGATACCCTCATCACCTTACTCTTATCTATGTTCACTTTCAACTTTCTACCTTTACACTGGCCACTGGCATAGGTCTATCTGACCCTGAGTTTTAACACTGTCTACAACTTTGGTAAAGTAATGGCATAATGATCTGTACTTTGAGACTGAACTCAGCAGCTTCTACAGGGAAAGGACAACAAGCTGCACTGCAGAGTAGCCTCTAGCATGATAAATTTGTTATATGTCAGTAAGCCTTGACTAGTTATGCAGAGTATTTCTATTATAGGGTACAACCAGACATCATGCTGTAACATTGTGGAACTCACCAAGAGTCAATAAAATCTTGAATTATTACAGGTACCGAGAAAACTCAAATGAGGCACTTGGCAAAAATATAGAGGTAGTTGTGAGTGTTGAGAGAGACAGTGATACTACACCTGTTTCATATTTAGTCAACAAAAATACTGTGAGCTGGCATCAGGCTGAAGTGATGCTTCAGGGTGAGTGTTATCTTCCTTTGAACACTAAGGAACTTTTCTTTATATTTATTCACATGTTTTAAAGAACTTAATTTTTTGTATTAGCCTTTATAACCAATTAAATCTTCACTATTCTTGGGCGGAGTAAAATTTAATTTTCTTTGTAATGATTCTTTATTAATATTTAAAAAATGTGATTTGTGTTGACACATTGGAGCTTTTAAGAAGAATATTTAATTACTGTATTTAGAAAAAAAAACAGTGATAATGTGCGAGTGTGGTGAAAGTGTTAAATGATGATGAAAGTATTTTCTTTTTGGGGATTTTCTTTCTTTTTTTTGGGTCACCCTGCCTCGGTGGGAAACGGCCGACTTGTTGAAAAAAAAAAAAAAAAAAAAAAATCAGAATTTTGTTAATAAGAGATACAGTGGTACCTCAAGTTACGAACTTAATTTGTTCCAGAAGGCTATTCAAGTGCTGATACCAAACGAATTGTTCCCATAAGAAATAATGTAAATTAGATTAGTCCATTTCAGACCCCCAAAAATACACTTACAAAAGCACTTACAATAACACACTTACATAATTGTTCAAGTTGGGAGCTGTTCAAAACTCGAGGTACCACTGTAGTAGTCTTATCTGTAATTTATTCTTGTCATTGACTAAATTACAGTACTGGTATGTTTACTGTTGCTACATTATCCATCTTTCAAGCTTCCTTCATGTGATAAATGATAATTAGTACAGTGGACCCCCGCTTAACGATCACCTCCAAATGCGACCAATTATGTAAGTGTATTTATGTAAGTGCGTTTGTACGTGTATGTTTGGGGGTCTGAAATGGACTAATCTACTTCACAATATTCCTTATGGGAAAAAATTCGGTCAGTACTGGCACCTGAACATACTACTGGAATGAAAAAAGTTCGTTAACCGGGGTCCACTGTATTCTTTCTTTCTTTCAACGCACCGGCCATATCCCACCAAGGTGGGGTGGCCTGCTTTAACCCTTAAACGGTCCAAACGTATATATATGTTCACTCATGCAGCGCCCTGAATATTTTGAAAAAAAAAAAATCGTTTTTTTTTTTATAGAAAGAAAGAGCACATTTTTTTAAGTGTTTTAGAATAAAAAAAAATTAGGGTCAGTACTTACAGAGATATGAGGCCGAGAAGTAGGCACTGGATGCTCACGTGACGGCAACATGGAGTCCTGCCGCTTGCAGAAGTGTTGCCGATATGCCTTTTTTTCTATTTTTCATATTATTTTATATAATTTTTATGTTTTGATAATTACAATTTATAGTAGTTCTTGCCATTTCATAACCAATCTTTGTTCTGACACTAATATTAGTTACTGAAATTGTACTCAAATTGTCACAAACACATTGACAGGTAGACATTTGCACCTGCCTTGGTCATTTACTATTGTCTTGGAATATATACAAAGTATTTGTAGGTCCCAGCATGTTTTGGATATGTGAAAGTATATAATAATAATGAGGAGGAGGAGTAGGAGGAGGAGGAAGAGGAGAAGGACGAGGAGGAGGGGAGGAGGAGGAAGAGGAGGAGGAGGAGGAGGAAGAGGAAGAGGAAGAGGAAGAGGAGGAGGAGGAGGAGAATACATAATAATAATAATAGGTAATAGTAAGTTCCCTTGAAGCATGAAAAACAAAGTCCACCCCTGACAGTGACATAAGATAAGATAACATCTGATAAGAACTGACGTTTGATGAGCATACATGAGGGTGGGGGAGGGTGCAGCAGATAAGAAAAGATTAGAAGTGACATTTGATGAGCATTGCCTTTGCTTTGTTTTCGCTGGTACACAAGCATGTCTGTCTGTCAAGCTCCCTGTCTGTTTGTCAAGCTCCCTGTCTATCTGTCAAGCTCCCTGTCTATCTGTCTAGCTCTCTGTCTCAGAGAGAGCCACAAGACTGTGTCATCATGTTTACTCACATCTACAAGCAGAGTATAGCACTTTGTCTGGATTTTATGGGTTATCCTAGGTAATTTACACTATGTATACTTGTATTTATGTGTACCTGTGAGACAGAGATAGACAGAGACAGAATGAAAGAGATGAAGACAGATAGACAAAGGCAGAGACAGACAGATAGACAGAGACAGACACAGGTAGACACACAGATAGACAGACAGACACAGATAGACAGACAGAGACTGATAGAGACAGACAGAGATACAGAGATCGACAGACTCTAAACTTGGGATTAACATCACTTTCCTCTTAAAAGAGGAGTGTCAATATGACATTACATCAGTGAATCCTTGGTGTTTGCTGCACTGTTTGCTCTAGTTGGGGCTCAATTTAACTGGTGCTCCCACAAGGTACTAAGTGGTCCCAGATTTTTTAAATACTGTGCACATCGAGTGTTAGAACCCATTCTATGCTGACCAGGCATCTCAGGCCAATTGTGCCAAATTTGGAGGCAGGAAAATTAAAACGTATATATATACTTGGGGCGCTACGTGTAAGAACGTATATATACGTTTGGACCGTTTAGGGGTTAACCAATGAGTAATTTGTTCATTATTCAGTTAACCCTTAAACGGTCCAAACGTATATATATGTTCTCTCGCGCAGTGCCCCAAACGTATATATATGTTTCATTTTTCATTCATTCAAAATTGGCGCGATAGGCCTGTCACCTAGACATGAGAGAATGGGTATGTGCACTCAGTGTGAACCATATGAAAAAATCAGGGACACCTGGGTACCACATGGTAGGTCCAGTTACATTCAGCTCCATCTTGGGTCAGCATCATGGTACATCCTCATGATTCACTCACGCCTCCTCGTATTAACACTCTACTATTCGAGGAAAGTGATAGAGATTGTGAGTTTAGTGGATTTGACACCAATGGGGCCAGTAATATTCAGGAAATTAGTGAAAATGTCAACGATAACCCAGATGACCCTCAGCCCATCACCTCTGGGGTAGCCACACCTGTCCTTGGGCCAAGCACTTCTGGGGTAGCCAGTGTGGCCACAGCAGACCCTAGGCCAAGCACTTCTGGGGTGGCCAGTGTGGCCACACAAGACCCTGGGCCAAGCACCTCTGGAGTGGCTAATGTTACCCATAGGCAACCTCGCAAGAGGAAACTATCATTTTCCCGGTGTTTTAGTGATAGTGAAAGTGATGTAAGTGACACTGAGATTGATTTTATGCCATCTGAGGATTCGTCTAGTGATAGTGAAGTTCATTATTCACCAGTGAAGCGTACTTTTAGGCATCGTTGTCTACATTCAGGCAGTGTGCCATATGCAGTCCCCAAGGGTCGTGGCAGGTCACGATCCAAAACCCCGGCCACTGATAGTGAAAGTGATCATGAAGGCGAGTATGCAGGGATGGAGGAGGTAGTGGTGGGAGGCATGGTGCCTGGACCACATGGCGTAGTGGGTGGACAGACAAAGGACTGCCCGGCATCCCCTCAACCATGTGCTGCCTCCACTCCTGTCCCTCCTCCTGCTCCCCCTTGCCCCATGCCACAGGTCCACCCTGCACCACGTGATCATGAGTGGAACTGGACACAAAGTATATTCATGCCACAGCCTTGTGATTTTGATGCAAGTGGAAGTGTTATCCAGCCAGAATGTCACCTAATGAATGAGTCTTCAGAGTTAGACTATTTCCAGTTGTACTTTGATGATCTATAATGAACTTGATAGTGACCCAGACAAACACTTATTACCGATATGTCATGGACAACACAGCAGAGGTTGGAGAATCGTCACAGCTGCACAGGTGGAAAGACACAACAGTGGCTGAAATGTATTTATTCCTTGCCACTGTCATGCTTATGCCACATATCTATATGAACAATATACATAATTACTGGTCCACAGACCACTTCATCAGTACTCCAGTTTTCCGTGACCTCCTTCCCTGCAACAGATTCACTCTGTTGCTACGGATGTTGCACTTCTCAAACAGAAATACGCCAAACAGAAATGACCTTCTATACAAAATCCGGGAAGTGTTTATGTACTTGAAGCAGAAATTCAGTGCATACTTTTATCCCTTGAAGAACATTGTTTTTGATGAGTCCTTGATTCTGTTCAAGGGACGCCTGTCATTCAAGCAATATACACCGAGCAAACGTAATCGCTTTGGTATAAAACTTTTTGTTATGTGTGACTGTGAGAGTGGTCTTGTGTTGGATGTTATTGTATACACCAGGCGAAACACACTCAATGATGACAGATGGATGTTGGGCATTTCCGGTGATGTTGTTCGTAGGATGATGTAACCATACCTTGGCAAGGGCCATACATTGTACACAGACAACTGGTATAACAAGCCTATGCTCGCTGATTTCCTATGTGTGGACAATACTGATATATGTGGAACAGTGAGAAGGAATAGAAAACATATGCCAAGGTTCAGTGGAGGCAGTGTAGAAGGTGCAGTGCAAGTGTTTCATGCTAATGACATCATGGCACTGACGTGGCATGACAAACAGGACGTGACATTGCCATTGGCCATCCACAAAAATGAGATGGTACACACAGACAGACTGAGCAAGTTCAACAATGAACCTATTGTAAAGCCAGCTGCTGTCATGGACTATATGTACAATATGTGACGAGTTGACAAGTGTGACATGATGATAGGGCTTGTTGACTGTGTACATAGGAGTCACAAGTGGTATATGAAACTGTTTTTTCACTTGGTAGACATTGCAGTGCTCGATGCATTCAATATGTACGAAATAAAGACTGGAAAACGACGTTTTGCAGAATTCTTTCTGAATGTTGTCAAACAGATAGCAAGAAAGTATGGTACCACACCTGTACCTGCCCCTCAACAGCGACTTGTCCCACAACCACAGCCAGTGGGGGAAGTGCCAGACTGAATCACTCCTAACTGTCATTATCTGGTACCAATACCACCTACCCCAAAGAAGAAGAATTCCCAGAAAAAGTGTGTTGTGTGTGCTACCACCAAAAAACAACCCCAACAGTGGAAGGACACACGATTCATTTGTCACCGTGTGGGGTGGCAGCTCTGTATGATCCATGCTTCATGGAGTATCATCAATCGTGGAATTCTAGAAACATAAGTGGACATGTAAATACTTGTACATATATTGTTGTAGATAATACGAATGTGATTTCAGCCAGGTGTGCAAAATTACCTGTCTCAGAATGTGACATGTGTGTTTATGACAATATGATATTAATTTTGTATATAATATGGTGTTAAACAACAATTGGCCAATCGAAATCAAAAGAATTTACTATATTAATATTAATTATCATATCATGAAAACCAAGAAAATTGAAAAAAAAAAATTAGAAGTATATGGTAAATATGTAGAATTTCTGCAAGCGGCGGTTGCACCATGTTGCAGTCATGTGATCACACATGTGCCCAATGCGCGGCCTCATATCTCAGTAAGTAACTGACCCTAATTTTATTTTTATTTTAAAACACTTAAAAAAAATGTGCTTTCTTTTCTCTTAAATAAAATAAGTGATTTATTTATTTTTCAAAATATTCGGGGTGCTGCGCAAGAGAACGTGATACTTTATATGTTTGTGTTCGTGATGATAGGGTTTGAAAAAACCGACAAGTTGATGATTGGAACTTATGCAACATTGGGAATCTTTATTCAGGAATTGGTTTCACCACAGTGGCTTCATCAGGTCCAATACAAAGTAGGCAGGCATGAGGAGAGGAGGAGATTGAGGTAATCAGTCCCTCAGACTGGAGTCGATGGTGTTCAGTCCATCATCTTGTAGAATGTACAGCATAGGGCCTTAGATGTGGCTATATACTGGTAGTGAGGTGAGGCGACGAAGCAGGAGGTGGGGTCATGTGGTATCATCCACTAGCCCACGACTAAAGGTAGGTCTTTGTGCAAAGGTTGGACAAGTGTGAAGTATTCTTTGTAACAAGATCCCATGTTGCTGCAGTATCCTCTATCCTTATGTCCTTTCTACTTTTGTATTGGATGATTGAAGCCACTGTGTGGACGGAAATGTTTCCTGAATTAAAGATTCCCATTTGTTGCATAAGTGTCTCAATCTTCAACTTGTCGGTTTTCAAACCATTCATCACAACTGGTCAGAACACTGCGCATATGGGATTCTTGTTACAAAGAATTCTTCCAACACTTGCTCCAATCTTTGGACGAAGACCTACTTCGACTAGTGGTTGTACCACTATGACCCACCTCCGCCTGCTTCGCCCACCCCACTACTGTATTAAGTCCGGTCGACGGGCCCTGTGCTGTACATTCTAAAAGATTGATGGAATGAACACATCCAACAACAGGCTGAGGGGGACTGATTACCTCAATCTCCTCCTCCTACTTATGCCTTTCTACTTTCGAATTTGACTGATTGAAGCCCTCTGTTGGTTGAAAACGTTCCGTATGCTATATATGTTGGACCGTTTTAAGGGTTAAGGTGTGCTTGGTTGTCAGAGGAAACTAGAAAACCTACACGTGATGAACTTTTTTTCAGCGGATAAAAGAATATGTTATGCGTGATATAATGCATGAATATGTAACATGGGCTAGGATGAGGATGGTGAGGGAGGAGGGATATTTTAAGGACAGTGGTAAGTGTAATATTATACAAAGGTGGTACAGTAGTATGGAGATTAAATTATATGTTACAAACATTTGTGTGACAATATTTTTGCTTAATGACCCGACTGGCTTGGAGATTTCGTTGTGCATGTGGAAGCCACAAAGTTTGGCGCTCCATCAGACCTCTCACTGGATGACTTCTCTTTTGCCAATTGTGCTCTACCTTTTGAGCCTGTTCAGTGTCTTGAAGACCAAATCCACTGTGAACAAACAGGTAAATACTGAATATGGATTAATCTATAATTTTTATGGATTTATTTGTGTTAAAACTATAGCATGGTTTTGAATTGAGTAAATGAAAGAAAGGTTATGATGCAAAACTAAAATTTTTAATTGAATTTTTTTAAGAAAAGAGGAAATACATTCACCATCATTTATTAGTTTTCTGTCTTACCAAAAGAGTGCAAACATCACATTTCAAATTACCCTCTGACCTTACTGACTCTCCTTCAGCATGTCCCAGTAAAAAACCACTACCTTACTAGTCAACTTCTCTTTTAGCCTCGCTAGTCATCTCCGTATCCCTATCTTCATATATAAATTTTACGTTGTATAACCCTAAAAGTATTGACGAACTTTGTTCCCTTACATACCCTCTTTTCCTCATCTTTCCACCAGTTTATCCTTCTTCACACTCACACTTTCATCTATAGACCACACCATTACATTTATACCCACAAACTTGCTGTGCACACTAGCACACTAATTCTTAAATTTACCACATGTCTCCTTGACTTCCTCTTTATTTCCTGTACTCTCTCAACTCTTTTTTATCACAATATTTGCTTAGTATATCTTAACGGTACTTTTTAAGTTCATTCACTGTTACTTCTTAACCAAAGCATGATTGCCAAACCACCTAGATACCCTTCGTTACCACCAATCCAAGAGCAACACGGGTTTAGAGCATGTCGTCCTGCCTGTCCCAGCTACTGGAACCACTATGAAAAGGTCCTGGATGCTTGTAGAGGATAAATTATACAGGTTGTTGTATACCACAGACTTTGCAAAAGCTTTCCGACAAGGATGTGACCATGGTTGTTATAGCACACCAAAATGCATTGTTAGAGGAATAACAGGAAAGTTTGTAGATGGAATCTAGGAACTTCCTGACAAATAGAACACAAAGAGTAATAGTAAAAGAAGTAAAGTCCCAGGCAGCCTACGGTTTAAAGCTCTGCTCAACAGGCACAGTACTTACTCAGCTATCAAAACTTTGGGGCCCAGTTCCTGGACCCATTATTTACCTGGAGAGAGTTCCGGGGGTCAACGCCCCCGTGGCCCGGTCTGTGACCGGGCCTCATGGTGGATCAGGGCCTGGATAACCAGGTGTTACGGCTGGCTGCACGCATCAACGTAACGAGCACAGCCCGGCGGCCAGGGGCGTACCGACTTTAGGTGCTGTCCAGTGCAGCTGAAGACAGCCAGGGGTTCTATTGGTAATCCCCCTTATGTATGCTGGGAGGCAGTTGAACAGTCTTGGGCCCCTGACACTTATTGTGTTGTATCTTAACTGCTAGTGACACCCCTGCTTTTCATTGGGGTCATGTTGCATCGTTCGTTCCGAGTCTTTGCTTTCGTAAGGAGTGATTTTGTGTGCAAAGTTTGGTATCAGTCACCTTAGGATGTTCAAGGGTATATAATCATGTATCTCTCCATGCTGCATTCCAGGGAGTACAGGTTCAGGGAACTTAAAGCACTCCCAGTAATTGAGTTGTTTTATCTCTGTTATGTGTGCGTGTTGGGATTCTCTGTTACATTTTTCTAGGTCAGCAATTTCACCATGCCTTTTGTAAGGTGTGTTAATATGCAGCAATATTTCCCAGCCTAATAGAACAAGGGACTGAGTGTCATCATATGCTTGGCATCCCTAGTTTTGAAGGTTCTCATTATCTATTCTGTCATTTTTCTAGCAGATACTATTGATACAACGTTATGGTCCATGAAGGTTGTGATCCTCCGACATGATCACTTGTAATCTATTGACTTCCGCCCACTGGATGGGTATGGGGTACATAATAAACATATTAAACTAAACTTCTACTCCTCATCCTCATTTCTGACATAGACAGAGATGTAATTTGCAGTGACCTCCTTCAAAGACACCACGAGACTCCAAGCGGAACATCAAACCAATCTTTGGAATGGGCCACTCAAAACAATGTGAAGTTCAACGAGGAAGAAATTTCAACTACAGATATGGGAATTGAGGGAATTAAAAATGTATCAGGGGTATACGACAAAAATTTAATCATACAATAGAGCAGAAATGTAATGTGAAGACCTGGGAGTTGGATTATTGGTCAGGGGAGGGACCTCGCCTTCAAAAACCCACAACTATGTATCTACCTCATCTGCTAGGAAAATGGTAGGATGGATAATGGAACCTTCAAAACTAGGGACACCAAAAGCCCATGATGATTCTCTTCCAATCGCTTTTGCTCTTAGGCTGGGTTATACTGCTGTACGCTAACGGCCCCTTCAGGATGGTGACATGCCAGACCTGGAGAGTGACAAAGAACTTTCACGGCAATGTGTAAGCATGATATTAAGGCACCTAAATTACTGGGAACTGTTGAAGGTCCTTGATCTGTATTCCCTGGAATGCAGGCGGAGAGTGATGCATGATAATAAACAATTGGAAAGGTCCTGGAGGGATGGTACAAACCTGCACATGAAAATCATGAAGCTGGTACTAGTGGCAATTAAAAAAAGAAGGGAAGCATAACCCAGAAAAAAAGGATTGACACCTCTGTCCTAATGGAAGGGGATTCCCCTTCTAAACACTAAAACCATTCCACACTCTACCCCTCTCCCACCATCGATCATCACCAGATCTTCAAAAAAGGTAAGTAGTTGTATGTAATTGTTCTAATGTCTTCTTCAGTTTGTGGTATTAAAATTAATATTTCATGTGGTAAATTTTTTTTTTTCAATACTTTGGGGTGTCAGGAACGGATTAATTTGATTTCCATTATTTCTTATGGGGAAAATTAACTCGACTAACAATAATTTCGACTAACGATTGAGCTCTCAGGAACGGATTAATATCGTTGGATCACTTAGAGGGTCCACTGTACCTGGACCAACCAGGCTGTGTGTTCGTAAATCAGCTTGTGTGCTGCCAGTAGTAACAGCCTGGTTGATCAGACCCTGATCCACCGTGAGGCCTGGTCTCAGACCGAGCCACAGGGGCATTGACCCCTGAAACCCTCTCCAGGTAAACTCCAGGTGAACCAACTGATGTCATTCTCATTGTACTCCATCCACCCCTTACTCTTCCTGTAGCGATTACAGTACTAACTAATGGTTTGATATGACTGTCACTCTAAAAACATGCATACTATTCAGCAAATACACCAACCACTCCACCATAATATTCCCACTCACTTTTAGCATCTCTGTCTTAATCCAGTCTGTCCCAGCTGCTTTACCCCTTTTTATTCTACCCTCTGATTAAGGTACTTTCATCTACATCCACCTCAGGCTCTTCCTCACTCCAATACTATGTTACCACTCTCTGCTCAATGCATGAAATCACCACCTCACCTTCCTCATTAACATTCATCTAAAGAATTTTTACTACATCAACCATTTCATGCCACTGTAGGGTGATCCAAAGAAAACATTCACCATCATTCATTCAGTAAATTTTAATTCAAGCCATATTTTAGGTTGACGATCATGTTACCTAGCAAAAAGCTTTTGATGAAATGAAAGTACATAATTAATCTACGGTTACTGCAATTAAGTACATTTTTTGTGCAGGACTCTGCATTGACGTACAACTGTTATGTGACAACACAAATGACTGTGGAGATATGAGCGATGAAATAGACTGTGGTATGAATATTCCCATGTGTACCTTTGAGGAGGGTGATTATTGTGCTTGGACTCAGGAAGACAGGCTCGATGATTTGGGTAAGTGAGACTTTTTTTTTTTAACATAAGGACTTGTGTATACAGTGATGGTTTCCTTTTTCACAATATTGAATTTACACATGTTCGGTTATTTGCATTAGCAGTAGTAGAATGTTCAGGTTATAATCAAAAGGACCCCCATTTGAATCCTAGGTGATTATAGACATGTGTAGGCATCCTTACACCTGCTGATTCTGTTCATCTAGTAGTAAATAAATAGGGGTTAGTCAGCCTTTATGGGTTGCACCTTGAGGAAGAGGACCTACTTACTCCACCTGACATAAGTCACATTGTTTATCTTTCTTGGGTTATTAATTCTTATAATCCACTTATTTTTTTCAGCACACTGACCGTCTCCCAAGAGGCAGGGTGACCCAAAAAAAGAAAAAAGAAAAATTTTTCTTTTTCCATTTAGTAATTTATACAGAAGGGGTTACTAGTCCCTTGCTCCCAGCATTTTAGTCGCCTTAATTCACTTAGGACTTGCTTATTATTTCAACAAGTAAATATGGATATTGTTTAAACTCAGCCATCTCCCATCAAGGCAGGGAAATAAACCAATATAATGTTGGAAAGCAAATAATTGCACTTGCATTATTCCATTAACCATGTTTACTGTTTAACTGTATCTACATGACAGCCTTGTTTAGTGCTCTACAGTATTGATTTAAAATAAATATCCTGTTTATCATTGGCATATAGCTTCTGCACATATTCTCAGCTTCATAACAGCTCCCAATTTTAATCCCAAAAGAGTACCAGAGGTTATATACCATTTACTTATGGCTAAGATGTAATTTTCTTTAGCCATAGAATGTTCAGGAATGTATGTTAGTCATTCTTGTTGCATAGTTTTTGTACGTTTTTTCTATCTTGCACAGTATACACTGTACACACCTATTTCCCATTAAAAAGATTTAGTAAACTGTTAAACTTTCTTTTATATTTGAAAATTATTTTTTTAACACATCAGGTAGTAGGTTGGTAGACAGCAACCACCCAGGGAGGTACTACCGTCCTGCCAGGTGACTGTGAAACAGAAACCTGTAACTGTTTTACATGATGGTAGGGATTGCTGGTGGTCTCTTTTCTGTTCAGTCCCCCCGAAACATGATGATAACAGGTATATCTTGCTACTTCTACTTACACTTAGGTCACACTACACAGGCAAGCACATACATATATGGTATAAACCTTGGTAATAAATACCGACAAGTTGGTTTAGAAAGACATGTAAGCAAACACTATAACATATTTATTAGATACGTTTCGGTCCTGGGGACTTGATCACTTCTAACATACAGAGGTAGAAATACATTTATATATAGGTATAGAGGAGAGTGGAGATGTGACGCACGTGACCTGAGGAATGTCATAAGAACATAAGAATGGAGGATCACCTGTAGAAGGCCTACTGGCCCAATTGCGTGGCAGGTTCCTTTTCAGAACTGCCTCCCGAGATTGCAGACTCAAGGCACCAAGCTATCCTCAAACAAACCGCCCATGGATAGCCCCCTTAACGTTCATTTAGTACTCCCTTGTGGCGATGTGGCCACGTATACTCGCGGGCACTTGCTTATGAGTAACTCAACGTTTCCACATTACAATACTCTATCAAAGACCTCACTAGAAACGCAAAGCCCCACACCTCTAACTTCTTACAGCAGGCGGTCCTCCCACACTATCCCTGTGGTTCTGTCCCAAGATAATATGTTGGCGAGACCAGCAGAGATCTCGCAGCAGTCAGCCTGAATGAGCATCGAAATGCCTTAACAGAGACGATGTAAGGTAAGGGCCTGTGTCCCTCCACAGAGAACTCCTTGGGGCTTTGATGAACTGGAACGAGGCACAACTCGTTCTCACCGAAACCAGACCTAGGCGCCGACGGTGCCTAGAAGCCTCACTAATCGCCGTCACTGACACTATAGAAGGCAACACTGGAAACTACAAAATTCAAAAACATTGGCATACAGGATACTTAACCCTTTCAGGGTCCGTCCCATAGATCTACGGCTTTACGTTCAGGGTCCAAACCGTTTTAGATCTACGCCATTGAGCTCAGCTCACTCTGATAAACTGTGAGTGGTACATTTGGGCCTAGATATGAGAGAATACATCTATGTGGTATGTGTGCACCACATAAAACAGATCCTGCAGCACACTGTGTTAATGAGAGAAAAAAAAAAATGAAATCATGATTTTTCGATTAAAACCAGCAACTTTGCAGGGTTTTTTCGTATGTTTTTTATAGTCTGTATTTTGCGATTTCTTGGTCTCATTTGATAGAATGGAGACATATACAGAAATAGAGATGATTTTGATTGGTTTTAGCACTGGAAATGGCTTGAAACTGAGCTCAAAGTAGCAGAAATGTTAAATTTTTGCGATTTTCAAGAGTAAACAAACGACCTCACACGTCTAATACACGACAGTGGTGGGTCTAAATATACATTCACAAATATGGTGATGATATTTATACAATTATTACAGTATTGCATAACAGTAAATCTTCTATTTTTTGGGTGTGAAGAAAAATTATTATGGGAATAAAAAATCAAAATGAATTTATTTGTAAAAGCCTCAAAACATAACTAATGAACAGAGGAAGGGGAAATGTTAGGTTTAGTGCAAGGAATGCCTACATGTTCATTCTGGACCCTATTTTGGAAATTGGAATATTTTGAACTTTGTGTTTAAATTGGCCCCAAAATTAACCAATTTCCAATCACTTTTGTAGTTGAATAAAAAGTTGACTTGGACGATTTTCTTTCCCTTGTGCTCAATCGATAGGAAAAAATAGAAGTAATACTAGTGAAATAGCTAAAGAATTTGGGCTGACTGGAATAATGAAATTGGCCTAAAATGGCAGTTAAAGTCGGCAAAGCGCCCGATTCGATAAATATCGCTGACCCACATCAAAATTCGCGGATAGGCATAATTTCGTCAATTTTCCACCAAATTTCGTTACTTTTTGTTTTTTACCTTCCACAAAAAGATTCTCTACGTTTATTAAGAAAAAATAAACAAAATTTTTTTTTTTGAAAATTCTTGGACATGGTGTGTGGACTCCAGGATTTGGGCCTCCTTGGGACCTGAAAGGGTTAAAGCAGCACCACCCAACAACACAGGAGTCACATGATTTCAATCGTTACCCCGTCTCATCATAGGCAGAGGTTGTTTTGATAAGGACTCTCGCATGGGCCAGTAGGCCTTCTACAGTGTTCCTCCATTCTTATGTTCTTATGACATTCCTCAGGCCACGTGCGTCACATCTCATACTCAGCCTCCTATATATACAATGTTATCTACCTCTGTATGTGTAGGAAGTGATCAAGGTCCGGAGGACCGAAACGTTTTTCTAATAAATATGTTATAGTGTTTGACATTAGTGTCTTCTAAACAAACATGTGCATATATATATATTATATATATATATATATATATATATATATATATAGATTATATATATATATATTATATATATTTATATATATATATATATATATATATATAATATAGTAGGTTGGTAGACGCAACCAACCCAGGGAGGTTACTACCGTCCTGCACAAGGGAGTGTTAAAACCGAAGACCTGTGATTGTTTTACATGATGGGTAGGAATTGCTGATGTCTTTTGTATGTCTCATTAATATGCAAGATTCAGGCATTGTCTCTACTTTACTTACACTTAGGTCACACTACACATTTAATGTACCATTTATTGATACACACTCATTCTGAGTTTTCTTTGATTTTATTTTTAATAGTTCTTGGTCTTATTAATTTTCCCTTTTATATCCCATGGGGAAGTGGAATAAGAATCTTTTCCTCCGTAAGCATGCGTGTTGTAAAAGTCAACTAAAATGCCGGGAACAATGGGATAGTAACCCCTTTTCTGTAAGGATACTAAAAAGAATAAAGAAGAAGATAATTGTCAAAGTGGGAAGTTGATGTGGTGGATGTTGTGCAGATGATAAGAAAGAAGATTGATTGTGGATGTTATGAATGAGAAGAAGCTGGATGTCCTGGCGTAGTGAAACAAAGCTGTAAAGGGGGTGGGAGAGTTTCCAGTGGAGAGGGGATAAATGGGATTTTGGTCAGGGGTTTCAAATAGAGTTAGAGCTAAAGAAGAGTAGCAATAATGTTGTAGGATAAGATATGGCAGGAAAAGTGGGGACTATAAATGTATTAATTCAAGATTATGTGGGTAAAATAAAGATGGATGTGAAAACGTGGGGTTATAATAAGAGGGTATGCACCTGGAGAAGAGAGAAAGTGTAGAGGAGAGAGAGAGATTTTGGGGAAATTGTTGAGTGAATGCGTGGGGCAGTTTTGAATCAAGTGTGAGAGTAATGGTGGTTGGGGATTTTAATGCTAAAGTGGGTAAAAATGTTATGGAGGGAGTAGAAGGTATAATTTGGGGTGCAGGGGTAATTGTAAAATGGGGAGCCTTTAATTGTAGCTATGTGTAGAAAGAAATTGGTAATAAGTAATACAATATTTTATGAAAAAGAGGATAAATAAATATACAAGGTATGATTAGCACGATGAAAGTAGTTTAATTAGATTATGTATTGATGTGTGATAAAGGTTGATGGGTATGTCCAGGTTGTACATGTTTATAGAGGGGCAACTGATATATCGGATCATTATTTAGTTGTAGCTAAGTTAGAGTAAGAGGTAGATGGGAAAAGGAGGAAGGTGGCAACAACAGTATGAGGGAGGTGAAAGTGTATAAACTAGGGAGGAGGGAAGTTCGGGTGAGATATAAGCGGACTATTGGCAGAAAGGTGGGCTAGTGCAAAGGATGAGTAGTGGGGGGGGTTGAAGAGGGTTGGAATAGGTTTTAAAAAATGCAGTTTTAGGAATGTGGGGCAGAAGTTTGTGGTTATAGGAGGGTGGGGCAGGAGGAAGAGGAGTGATTGGTGGAATGATGAAGTAAAGGGTGTGAGAAAAGAGAAAAAGGTAGCTTATGAGAGGTTTTTACAAAGCAGAAGTGTTA